CCAAGTCCTGGAAATCATCGTGTTAAGATCGCCGATGGTTCTTTTTCCGCTGTTGCTGGAAGTGGATCCATCCAACTTGGATCAAATATTGTTTTGAAATCCGTATTACATGTTCCCAACTTCTCTTGCAATTTGTTGTCCATTAGCAAGCTTACCCGTGATATGGATTGTATCGTGAAATTTTCTCCTTCTTCTTGTGTTTTTCATGACCGGATTTCGGGGAAGGAGATTGGTAGTGCTAGGGAACTTGCTGGTCTCTATTACTTTGAGGATGATTTTTCTGTGCGTGGTTTGGTTCAAACGGTTGTTAGCACCTCAAGCTCTCAGTTTCGGCGCATTATTTTGCTTCATAATAGACTAGGACATCCAAGTTTCAGTTATATGAAATTTTTGTTTCCATCCTTGTTTAAAAACGATGATTCATTTCAATGTGAAATTTATTAGTTGGCTAAACATACTCGTGTTCCTTTTCCACCTCAACCTTATCACGCATCTAAACCATTTGCCCTAATTCATAGTGATATTTGGGGACCATCCCGCATTGTGACACTCACATGGAAAAAATGGTTCGTTACTTTTACTGATGATCACACTCGTGTTTGTTGGGTTATCTTTTAAGAGAAAAGTCCGAAGTTGCGACTATGTTTCAAAACTTCCACTCCATGATTCACACTCAGTTTAATGAAAGTATTCATATGTTACGCACCGATAATGGTAGAGAATTTTTTGATACTGTCCTGGGAGATTTTCTCTTAAAAAATGGTATTATTCACCAAAGTTCGTGTGTTGATAGTCCACAACAAAACGGTGTCTCAGAAAGAAAGAACCGACATTTGTTAAATGTTTCTCGTTCCCTTATGTTCACAGCCAATATACCAAAGACCTTTTGGGGTGATGCAGTTCTCACTGCTTGTTATTTGATTAACCGTGTTCCCTCGCGTGTGTTGAAACATCAAACTCCTATTGACTGTTTCCATCAATTTTATCCTGACACACGACCCTCTACTCCTCTTGAATTTCGTGTCTTTGGATGCCTAGCATTTGTTCATAGTCTAGATCCCCATAGGGGCAAATTCGATCCTCGATCTCACAAATGCGTCTTTGTTGGATATTCCACCACTCAGAAAGGGTACAAGTGTTACTCGATAGAGAGGAGAAAATATTGTGTCAAAAGATGTCACGTTCTTTGAAGATCAATTCTTTTTCCAAAAAAATTCTCTTCAGGGGGAGCACAACTATGAAGAAAACTTTTCTGAGGACAATTCAAAAAATCCGGATTTATGGGAATATTTTTGGCATATTTCACCCCATTCAAACAAGCCTCTCGAGATATCCTCTTTGCCAACCTCAGAAATTTTGAACTCCCCACAAAATCCATCTCCAGCCACACAAAATTTTCAAATCTCAGAAAATCTGCCAGCTGGTCCACAAAATCCGCCATCTGGACCACAAAATCCGCCAGCTGGATCTCAAAAATTTGTGCCTGATTCGAACTCAAATATTCCGAGAGAATTTCCCTCAAATCCAAAATCCATCTCCACAAATCTCGACATTAGAAAAACATCCAAATTCGATTCAAAATCTTTCCCCACAAACCTCTTATCCAAACTATCGGATAGATACTCCACAAAATCAGGTTTCTGCAGACAACCTAGAACAGAGCCAAGCTTCCCGTCCAGAACAACTGTTTGATCTAAAATATGCACGGAAAAAAGGTTCGAAGGGTAATTACGATCTGCAGGCCCCACACTGCCCAGAATCCGACCCGAAATCAAGTATGAAAGATAAGTTTTCTGATCTCCATCTGCCTGTAGCTGTTAGAAGGGGTATTCGGTCTTGCACTAATCATCCAATATCAAGATTTGTAGCCTATAATCATTTGTCTAACTCTGTTCAAGCTCTTGTGTCAAATCTGGAAGATCAAGAAATTCCACAAACAGTGCAGGAGGCGTTGAACAAACCAGTATGGAAAAAGGCTATAATGGATGAGATGAAAGCATTGGAGAATAATGGTACGTGGGAAGTGGTACAAAAACCAAAGGGTAAGGAGCCCGTTGGCTGTAGATGGGTGTTTACCATTAAATACAAGGCTGATGGCTCGGTGGAAAGGGTCAAGGCAAGGCTAGTCGCTAAAAGTTATACACAAACATATGGGGTGGATTATCAGGAGACATTCGCTCCAGTAGCTAAGATGAACACTATTCGAGTTCTCCTTTCTCTTGCGGTAAACCTTCAATGGCCTTTGCAGCAATTAGATGTTAAGAACGCCTTTCTAAATGGCGACTTAGAAGAAGTTTATATGGAGCTTCCTCCTGGTTTTGATCGAGAAGGCAGCAATGGTAAAGTTTGCAGGCTTAAGAAGTCCTTATATGGACTTAAGCAGTCACCAAGAGCGTGGTTTGGGAGATTCGCAAAGGCAACACTTCAACAAGGATATCAGCAAGCCCAGGCAGATCACACTTTATTCTATAAACGGAATAATGAGAGAATAACCATTCTCATAGTTTATGTGGACAATATAGTCTTGACAGGGAGCGATACAACGGAAATGGAAAGACTGAAGAAGGAATTGACAGTAGAATTTGAAATGAAAGATCTAGGAAATCTTAGGTACTTTCTCGGCATGGAAGTTGCAAGGAGTAAAACAGGGATCTCAATGTTAGATCTTCTGCGAGACACAAGAATGATGGGCTACAAACCTGTGGAAACACCAGTCGACTTCAATAAAAAACTGGACAATAATGGTAACAGCGAGCCGATTGAGAAAGGAAGATACCAGCGTCTTGTTGGTCGACTTATCTACCTGTCTCATACTCGGCCGGATATCGCTTTTGCAGTTAGCCGTGTTAGTCAATTCATGCATGCTCCAAATAGTGAACACCCTTAGAATACTTCGGTATCTCAAGGGCACTCCAGGGAGAGGACTTTTCTTCAGAAAACTTGGAGAAAGAAATGTTGAAGCATACACCGATGCTGATTGGGCCGGGGCAATAGAGGACAGGAGATCAACCTCTGGTTACTGCACTTTTGTTTGGGGGAACCTAGTAACTTGGAGGAGTAAAAAACAGCCAGTTGTGGCTAGAAGTAGCGCTGAAGCCGAGTTGAGATCATTAGCTCACGGTATTTAAGAGGCTTTGTGGCTGAAGAATCTGTTAAAGGAAATTGGTGAACCTCTGGAGTCTCCGTTAAAGATTTACTGTGACAACAAGGCAGCGATCAATATCTCACATAATCCAGTGCATCACGACCGGACAAAACATGTGGATATTGACCGACATTTTATAAAGGAGAAAATAGAAGATGGCACCATCTGCGTGACATATGTTCCTTCTTCAGGACAGACGGCTGACATCCTTACCAAGGGTCTTTCAACATATTTGTTTGAGAAGTATGTAGGCAAGCTGAACATGTACAATTTGTACAGTCCAGCTTGAGGGGGAGTGTAGAAAAATCAGGACTTAGATAGAAAGATCCCTAAATTATAGGAGTAGACGTATTTATAGGAATTAGTTACAGTTGTTTAGATTTTATATTCTTGGCATTACTGGTGTATATAAAAACCGAGCATACCTAATGTAATCAATTAAGTTCCAATATTGAAAGCAGTATTCTGGCGTGTTTCCTTCCTCATATTTATTTACAAGACTTCTTTGTTGCCATGCCGTATTTGTTCATTGAGGCATAGAATCAAACACTGCTTTCAGGTATGAGAAAAAGGGGTCTCGGACAAGAGGAGAAACCAGTAGCAGCGTGAAAAGAAAAGAAAGCAGTAGGTATCCTACTGTGAGAGAATATGGCCTGGGAGAATATGGCCGGAGTTGATTGGCAGTCAAAGAAATTGAAAGAGGGTGACTGGCCGAAGAATTCCCAGAGATATGAGCCTAGGGCTCTGATACCATGTTGGTGAAGAATGAATTATTTTCTTTCATTCATACTTTCTGATGAAAACATAGTACATTATATACACGAGCATAACCTTTGACTAATCATAGATTGAAACTAAATAAGGAAACAATCTCACTAACTTAAGAAAGACACTAAACTAGGAAAGATAAAAACACTGCAATCACCGGATTCAATCACCGGATTCTATATTTGCAAAATAAAAAGAATCCTAACAAATCTTCCCTAATTGATTCGGGAATTCAACAGAAACATTTGGGCTTTTTTCTTTTTCATTGAGATTCCAGGATGGCAGAGAGTGATGTGCCACTGACCCATTACATGTTATATAGTCCTAGGAATTCCACCAAAAATAAAATGGGCTTCAGGCGAAGATGATGTGTTTCACTATTAAAGGTATAAGGAGATTACAAAAGAAGTATTTAAACTCTCTCAAAACCCAAACCCCAGCAGACCCAAAATACTCTCACAAGAACACTAAGAGAGAATCTCTACAACACTCACTAAGCACTCAAGAAAGCTCTTCAATTTTTTTTTTTTTTTTAATGCATGGAATGTTGGAGGGAAGGCCAATTTATAAGCTAGCTTGGGCATTAGATTAGGATGGGTTCACAATCTTGAAAGAAAGCTAAACTTGGACTAAACATTTTATCACCAAAGTTACCTTATTCATGTGACATCGTCAAATTAATGTGGCTAATTTTGAGACACATCTCAACATATAGCTTGAGGAAAACAAGATCCAAAACACTTTATAAGACTAGCAAAAAGAGGAAGAATAAAAAACAAACATCAAATGACTTCAATTTGGTCTGTTGCGAAAATTTTTAGAATATCAGCAACGGCATATATCAGTTAAAATATTAGACACCTACAAATTAAAATAACCCAAACCAAATCGACGCCTTACACAGATCCAATAACTCCCTATATTGACATAATTTGGGAGAAAAGATTCGATCATAATTAACATTAGCTCAATAGTCTACAACAATAGCTTATTGATCTATTGTTTCTCCTGATTCTGAACTATTTGAGTTTTAGATCAAATATATCACTTACGAACCATGAATCATATTAGAATCATATATATTTACCTGCTTGCAATGGACTCCCTTCAATGCCTCAACAAGTCTAGGCCTGAAAATGGGTCGACTTGTATCTTTGTGTCCACAACAAGATGATGAATTATCCCCACAGGTGAACACCTAAATTAATAAGCGGCTACATCAGATGATTGATCTTACAACCAAAAAGAGTTTGTATTTTAAGGATGGAGAGGGGAGTAAAGGTGTTCGTGAAATTTCTAATGGAAAGGAGGAAAAAACACAAATTCCAAGCAATACAGAGAATAGACACTATCTAAAGTGCAAGCTGTTAACATATAACGTTGACATATAGGCTAGACAAGAATGATGAAACACTCCTCTTGCACTCTGTTCTACATAAAAACATGTTACACTTCACGTACACATATGAAGTGTTCTACTTTCAGTTTTCAAAAGCAATGATGAATGGAAATAGAACCTCGCAATAGACAATTAAGAAACTTTAATACACAAACTCTGTATTCTGCTCCAGTGAACCGAGAAACTCTTGCTAATGTTTTAATTGATCTGATCTGTCAAGAAGTAGAACGTAATGTGCTCTTGTTGTTACCATCCTCACCAAATAATTCTACCCCTTTGGTTACTAAATTCAAGTATATATATATATATATATATAGATATATCATTTTCTTTCTAGAGATATCCTGCCAAAATGAAATTTGCTGTTGGAAGCAGGTGCTTGAGGCCTTAAAAATTAAAATTTCGGAGTCACTTAAAAAACAGCATCACAAAGAAATTCCTCTTAAGCTAACAAATCAGATTTTCCATGCCTTCTAATATAGCTATTTTCTCATAAAAAGTAAAGAAACAAAAATCCACGCTAACTCAGCATTTTTCTTTTTCCGAGCCACCCAGCATTCTTGACTCTAAAATCCCATCCGTCTACTAACAGGACATCAAATACATTACTAGGTCCCCCCAACCCCACCCAAAGAGAGAAAAAAAAAATACAATACGAGTAGAGGTAGCTATAGTAGTGAAAAGATACCATGTTATAAGAACAATTCAATTAGTGGCAACCAGTCCCTTATAAAAGGCTCAGAACCTAGACGACTGCTTTTCCTTTTTCTCTTTACTTCTCTCTCTCAAAGTATCCAGGCTCCGTTTAGAAAAAAAAAAAAAAAAAAAAAAAAAAAAAACCAATAGGTAATATATCTATGATTTCTATTTAATATCATTAAAAAATAAAAAATAAAAAAAAAACTCTCACGAATTGTTGTCAGCACATGATCACAAAGTCATAATTTTTCCCCCATCAATGCTGGAAGCAGCTTGGTTAGCATCATGTGGAAACCAAAATCATAAAACGTTTGCTAAGTTGCACCAGATACTCTTAATAAAGCTGGAGAGTAATAGGCATAAGCCATAAGTAACTACTGACCTCTCCAGATTGCATGACAAAAGCAGCATGATTATGAGAAGCAGAGACTTGGACCACATGTGCTAAAGATGGAAAGCTAATCCGACTGAATGTTACACATTGTGTAGTTTCAGAACCATGACCAAGGACACCACACAAGCTAGAACCACATGAGTAAACCGATGAATTGCTGATTAGGAATGTGTGATACTTTCCAGTTGTAATCTGCATCTGCTCATATATCAACAATAAATAACCACATTTTTCTGTCTTAATCTCGGCATCTAAGAAACAGCAAAAATGATAATCGGTACATGAAAGCATATCAAAATAACTAATGATTCTATGAATAAACAGATCAAATTGCACTCCAAATCAGTTATAGAAACACACCTAATACACCATTTTAAATTTGTGTACTCATTTGATATTAAAGTGCCGAATCACACTGCAATATGTTCCATGTAATATCAAAATCTAAAGACTATTTCCAATCCATATTATTTGTTGCAATTAAGTATTAACAGGAAACCAGAGTAGATCTTTAGCATCTTAATACAACACCTATACCAATCCAAAACAAGATGGGCAGCAGAACAATAACATTAACAATCACACGATTAGTAGAATCTATATAGTCAAAGGAATGTGATTTAATAAATTCAAGTAATCCTACCAACCTTAAGTAAAGCACTGATAAACTAAAACATCAGGACAGACAACTAGTTCATTCTAGACTTACTGAACAATTGACAAAGTATTCAACAAGTATAGAAAAACCCACCAAACACACACACACACACACACACAACACAAAAGCACATTGGCATTTTTTCAGCAGAAACCTACCTCCCAAAATTCACATATAACTCAACATTAAAATCAGCAGCAAAAATATTAAAGAACTAGTACATTGCCTGCTGATGTCTCGACTATGTCAGAAGATTGCTCCACAGATAGCAAGAACCTCAAAACCCGCTTCCAATTCCCATCGCACCGATCACAGAGCTCTCTCTGCGCATTCCGACTCAGACAAGAGTATATAGAATGAGAAACACACAGCTGAAACGCCGCTAAATCCACCAAAGACCGAAATTTCTGAGGGTACAATCCATGGCTCCCTCCAAAAGTCCTAGAAGTCAATTCTAAGCACACAAGATCAACGGCACTGAGCCCCCCAGAGCTCAAAATCTCTAAAATCAAATGTGATGGCAATTCATCTATCGAAACCGGCCTATATCGTTCCGTCATTGTGAAAAAATTTATACAATTTCAGCTCTTTCAGATCCAAAAACCCGCTAAGTCAAATTTTCCTTTCTTTTCTCGTTCAAATGGAAGTCAAATTTTTAGGCGAAATCTCAGGCAATTAAAGCAACATATAAAGAAAACATCGGAGGGAAGGAAAATGTAGGAAACTGAGTACGGAAACGGAGACTTTGATGAAAAATTCACCGGAGATTGATACAGCGATTGGAAATAAAACATCAGAAGATTCAATTATCAAAATCTTCTCTCCCCTCTAAAATCGTGAAGGCTCAAGAAATGACGAATTTTACCTGCAAAATTCATAGAAATTTCAAACAACAGAAACAAAAATACCAAATTTAGCAACAAATGCGAATCAAAATGTGCACAAAAAAGACAGAATTTACAAAAACTTACAGAAAAAAAAAAGAAGTGGAATCTCACCTTTTTACGCCGAAATAATAGGAAAAATCAAAATCAAAATCAAAGGTCGATTATAGGAATTTGAAAAGTAAGAAGACGGCGAGAGAAAGTGACAGAGCAGGAGAGAAAGAGAACAAAGAGAGAAGCTCAAAGCTTAGGGTTTCGAGCTCGCTTTAAAGCGTAATGTATGGGCTGTCATAATTCTCTTTCGTTTCTCTCTCTAAAAATAGCTAATTTTTGGTCTCTTTCTCTCTCTCTCTAATTAATAGCGGCGATTAGCAGAGAAAATGAGAACGGAATGGAATCTTCATTAAAGAAAAGAAAGACTCTTCACAAAAATTAAAAGATATATATATTTTTTTTTAATGCTGAAAGATAAATAAATTGACAATTGGCCTGCTTCTCTGCTGCTCGTGGGGTTCGACCTGTCTCAGATTTTCTCTCTCCTCTTCTTGCTTTCTTCATGGTCCACGTGGAGGTTTAAAGGTGACACGTCATAGGAACGATTGTTTAGACTGGTTGTCGGCTGTGGGGACCACAGAGAGTAGGTACGCCGACAGAGACGCGCTGTTCTTGGAGCGCGTAAATCCACGCCTGCTACAACATCCACAAAGGCGGGTACAAACAATCATTTGGATGGATTTTTCCTCTTTTTTTTTAATTCAAAAACTGAAAACTAACGACTATTTTATTGTTTGGATTAATTATAAAATTTTTTTAAAAATTATATTTTTATAACACTTTGACTCCGTTCATTTCGCCGATTTGAGTTTAAAATTAGAGTTTTGTTATAGTAAAAAACTCTTAGAAACAGTCACATCTAACTTTTTTGTTACAGTAAAAAGTTCTCACACAAAATCACATCTCAACTCGAATTACAAACTCGAATCAGCGAAATGAACGACCCCTTTATCTATCTTTAAAATATAATATCAGTTATTCTTAAATAATAAAATATTAATAAAAAAACCTCATCTATTAAAATTTTAACAAAAATTAATATTTAATTAATTATTTTAAAGTTATTTTGATAATTTTATAGCTTGAAATTTAATCTAAATTTAAAAGTAATTTATATTTATATTTTTTTTATTAAAAATCATCCATCGATAGTTGAATGTACATTAAAAATTTTATGAATCTTTTTAGTAGAGTTACAAATTTATGGAGTTTATTAAACATTTTTTATGTTAAAAATAGCAAATGAAAAATAAAAAATAATTTTTTTAAAAAAAAAGGAGCCACGTTAGTGAGGTGGAGTATTATTGTGTCATTGGAAGTAAAGAAGATTGATTGTGTTTTCTTTATTATATTATATGTAAATTAGACTAAAAAATTAGAGTATGTGGGTAAAATAATAATTGTGCTTTAAATTGTTTAACTACACTATTATGTATGCGACACGTGTCAAAAATTATTAAATTTCTTAACGGAATGAGCATTTTTATTAGAGTTTTATTGTTCAAGAAGAATGAATGTTACGTTCTAAAATTCAGAGGTAAAATGCTACAAGAGGCATAATTTAGAGAAAATTTATGTAATTAATCCTTACTTTTTTGAAAAATCATATTGACTTGTCAAAATTTCCTATGCTATGAACTCTACTTTTGTCTACCAGTAAGAATTGTAATTTTAATTGTTGAATTAATTTATCAACATTTGATTTACGATTGGAAATAATTCTATATTACGCTTTGTAAATTAATCAATCAGACTATTAAAGAGCTAATCCAACAACTAAAATAACCCTTCTTATTTGTAGGGAAAAGACACAATTGCTAACGTAGAAGTTGTAGAAATTTCCTTTGCATAGTAAAAAAGGACATACCATACTTTCACTAGTGACAAACCATATATAACGAAGATTTAAGCAATATTATTCTCGTGCGTAAATGCATGAAACAATTTTCTTGGTGATTTATTGATTGATTATTTGCTTTTCATTGTGATAAGAAACCTTTTGGCAAACACATGATTATTGATATAGCAAAAAAATAAATAAATAAATAAATAACTAATGAATTCTACTGTATCAATGTTAATTGATACATTGCTCGCTGATAAAAAAATGTTAAATTACTCAAAACAATTATTTCGTATTTAATCCCATAACTTTTACACTAAATAAAACAAAGAGAGCAAGCGGAAAAAAGATAGGTAGATGGTCTAGTTTGGTCACACATGTTTTCAGTTAAGAGGCCTTTTTTTTGTTGAATTTTACTATACTAAATCATTAATCATTGATAATGCTAATGATCTATCAGTCCATCAATAATAGACCACTAAGTGAATCAATAGTAGATCACAAAGTTAATTAATGATAAACTATAATACATTGCATCATTTATGTCTTTTAACTAATTATTGTTTAAAAAATCTTTACTGTTTAACCACGTGTTTTGTTTCTTGTTTCTTTGCTCTTTTTCTTGGTTTAGACATTTTTGGGTAAAATAAAGCACTCTTGGGTAAAATTGCAAGTACCCTCAAAATAGGGGGGAAAATTGTCAATAGAATCCAACGAAGCAAAAGAGCTCAGAAAGTAAAAACGATTGATAATAAAAACAAAAATAAAACAAAATGATATAGATAATAGGTAGCGCGTGCTTAACACGAGAGCGCTTGCGGATGAGGTTCCCTATCAATACAACTCGCGGGAAAAGAAGTTGCTCTGGTTAAGGAAAAAATAAAAATAAAAAATAAAAAAAAGAGAGGCAGGAATTTAGAAAATAATAAATTGTAGCGCCTGCCGGATTTGCCCCCATTCAAGACTTAACGGCTAAGTACTTTTTTTTTAGGATTAATCTATTGGTGCAATTTAAGATCAATTTCCATTTTACCCTTAAATTTTTAAAAAAGTCACTTTATCTCTCAAATTTTAATTCAAATCACAACTCAAGGCTCCGTTCATTTCGTTGATTCGAGTTTAAAATTTGAGTTTTACTACAGTAAAAATCTCTCACAAACAATCACATCTAACTTTTTTGCTACAATAAAAAGCTCTCACATAAAATCACATCTCAACTCGAATTAAAAACTCGAATCAGCGAACTAAACGGACCCCAAGTTTTTTCTATATTATTTTCTCTCACAAAAAATTAAATTTAACTTTTTATCCTACAATGTTTTTCCTCACATAAATTCACTTTTCAACTGGAATCAACAAAACGAACAACACCTAAATTTGTCACATTTAAACCCTTTTGTAAGAATTTAGGTTAAAATCAAATAAAAAAATGAGATTAAATGTGACCATGTGATTTTTAACTATTTGTTTTTAATAGAAATTCAAAAAAAGTGATCTCGTGGCTATATTACTCTTTTTTTTTCTCTATCTACTTTTAACATAAATTACAACATAAGAGGTTAAGTGAGAACAATTTAAAATCAGGAAGCAAAGTGAGTTTTTAAAATTTAAAAGATAAAATGAGAATAAATGATAATAATCCTGTTATTTAACTAGCTCAGGTGATCATGCTGCTAGTAATTGAGTCACAGCCCACAGTAGTATTTTCGGACCTTTACATGCAAGAAAAGTCATGCAAAGGCTTATATAATTTCATCAATGTCTCCTAAACGTATGGACCTAGAAACATGACAAATATGTATATTGCCTGGTGTATTTTCTTTTTTCACTTAGATTCGTTTTATACAGAGGTTAAAACATAGAAAAGAAATTCATTAAGTTTATGAAGACGGCACAAAAGACCAGTAGTTATACTTTAGGGAAGTTCACAACTTTCCTGAAGAAGTCTGTTCAGTTGTTGAATCTTGAATATCATCATCGGTTGCCAATCTGAACTTCAGTATCTTTTTAAGGCTGGTCATTGGTTTCACTTGCTTCCTTGGAGATTGTTTTGGATCTATAATGCATTTTCCCGAGAAAAGATTTGCCTCTGGTCCTGTTTCTTCATGAACCACAGGACCATTGTCTGAAAAAATTGAGTAATATGGCGGAAATTGTTCATTAATTGCACACCATAGCATGATAAGAGAAGGAAACTGATCTAACCTACTACCTCATTCTGCTGTAGGCCGAAAAATAAAGATCGTCTCTAACTATCAACTTAAAGTTTCTCAGCCCCCCTTTTGTCAGGACTATAAGGAACCAGAATGGCGCACCCGAAACTCATTACTTCTAGCCAAGACGGAAAACTAAACAAACAACAGAATATGAAGATACATTTCAAGCCTAGTGCTTTTTAAAGAATTTAGGTTCTCATTTACAGAAAATTTAAGGGATTTGTGCCCTCCATTGAGCATAGGA